AGAGCACTTATGTACTAAATTTTATTCAAATGTGATGATTAGTAATTGAGATATCAGTGTTAATTAATTATGTTAATTAGGTGATTAATAAGCATAAATATTTACCAAAAACTAATTGGGTCTCTGCATGGTTCTTTTTAAAAGTTTTATTAAAATTCAATTCGTGGTTCTTTATATATCAGTGGAACATTATGCAAATTAGGTAATTAATAGCCAATTAAAACTAATCAGGTCCTAATAATCCTAGAAGATCTATGTAGCAAGTCTCATTGAAATATGATGATTAGTACTTGAGATATCAGGCAAAAAGCTGAAAATTAACAAATTATGCTAATAAGGTAATTAATATGCACAAATATTTACCCCAAAACTAATCAAGGGTCTGCACATTCCTTAAGTAGCTATGTACCAAGTTTCATTGAAATGTGATGATTACTACTTGAAATATCAAAAGCTGAAAATTAATTAATTATGCAAATTAGGTAATTAATATCTACTGATTTTACCCTAAAAACTATCAGGTCTGTGCAGTGTCCTATGACATCTATGTACCAAGTTTCATTGAAATGTGATGATTACTACTTGAAATATCAAAAGCTGAAAATTAATTAATTATGCAAATTAGGTAATTAATATTGCACAGATTTTTACCCAAAACTAAACAAATCTGAGCATCTATGTGCCAAGTTTAATCAAAATCCAATGAGTGGTTCTTTAGATATCAGAGAAACAGACATGGAACAGCTAAAAATCAGCTAATTATCATGCAAATTAGGGAGTTAATATGCATGGATATTTACCAAAACCTAATCAAATCTGCGCATTGGCCCAGAGCATCTATGCACCAAGTTTCATCAAAAATCAATGTATGGTTCTTGAGATATCAGTGAAACAGACACACACACACAAACACACACAGACAGACGCACAAACTGCAAAGACTCCCTTTTTGTGCTTCGCACACGGGACTCAAAAACAAAAATAACAGTGTCGACTAAAAATTTAGGCCAGCAGATTTTAACAAAAGATTTTCTACAATTTCAAATCTATATTAGTTTGA